GGTTTGAGGGTTCTAGGGTCGAGGGTTCGAGGGTCGTCGAGGGGCCGAGGGTTCGAGGGTCGAGGGTCATCGAGGGGTCGAGGATCGCTGAGGTGTCAAGAGGTTGCCTGGTGTCGAAGTATTGAAGAAATCCATGGCTTCATCATTAGCCGGAAGTAACCCGGGCATGATGGTACGAAGTTCTTCAAAGTTATTCCGGAACGGAGTCCCGGATAGCATAATCCGCCTTTTGGTACAAATTTCAGCAAAGGCCTTCCAAATAGCGATATTCGGAAGGCTCTTGTTGTACTTTGTACCAAAAAGCGAATTATCCTATCTAGGATTCCGTTCCAGAATAACTTTGGAGAGCTTCGTACCATCATGCGTTGTTACTTTCGCCTAATGATGAAGACATGGTTTTGTTGAATCCTTTGACACTAGACCCTAGAAGCGCTGCCGAGGCCACCCAAATTTACCAAGTTAAAAGAGCGTTATCGTCAAGGCCGCCCCGAACCCTTTAAGCATCGTCGAGGCCACCCCAAACCCTAGAGAAGCATCAAGGCCATTAATTAATATAATTCCTTGTTGTGATTAGCTATAGCTAGGTCTACGTTTGCCACTAATATATCCATCTGTCATGTTTGTATAATTGTCATGTTGTAATATTTGCAGAAACTATGGAGCACGGTCGAGATGAGGAAGCAGAACGGGTGTTGGGAAACTATGTCATGTCGTATCTCAACGAAACCGATGGTCTGGAAGGAGAGGGTGAAGCAGGCTACGGTTATCGAACAATGGAGGAGGAAGGACATGATTGTGATGTCTCCGGTGACCGAATGCCGGTGCAAGAAGGAGACCTTGATGACGACTCCGGTGACCGAATAGAGTCCGGCCAGGTATATATATTAATTAAGCCTGTGCTGACTAGCTAATTGATGCATTCATTGTTTTGGTATCTACACATATTAACTCTCATCTTTCTTCTTTTTTCTAGCCCTCCGGATCAAGCACAACTTCGGTAAAGAGACGAGGCCCGAAGAAAAAGTTGTGCTTGGATGAAAGGTTCACGATCACAGCAATCGCGTGCAATGGCCAAGTGATTGAACCCCTCTGGACCAAGGATGCATTTACTGCTCAGTGTGGGGTTCTTGTTAGGGACACATGATCCCGATCAACATCGAGCTA